TACATCACATAGTACTGCAACACGTAACACTGATAGTGTGCCAGTACAGACAGTACGTCGTCGTAGTGGGAGGGTTTCTACACAACCCGACCGATAGATAGGTCTTGGAGAGTCATCGGACTCAGTTCCAGGAGACCTAGAATCGGACCCAAGAACTTATGACGAGGCACTCCAAGATAGAGATGCAAATTCGTGGAAGGTTGCAATGAAAGCTGAGATGGGGTCTATGGACACCAATCAGGTCTGGGATCTTGTAGAACCACCCGATGGGATACGTCCCATTGGATGCAAGTGGTTTTACAAGAGAAATAGGGGATCGGATGGAAAGGTGTAAACCTTTAAAGGTAGGCTTGTTGCGAAAGGTTATACAAAGAAAGAGGGTATCGATTATGATGAAACCTTTTCGCCAGCAACTATGCTTAAATCCATTCGGATTCTCTTAGTTGTAGCCACTAATATGGATTATGAAGTGTGGCAGATGGATGTTAAGACGGCTTTCCTTAATGGGAACCTTCAGGAAGACATCTATATGCAGCAACCAGAAGGATTCATTGCAAAAAGGCATGATCACTTAGTTTGTAAGCTTAATCGGTCCATTTATGGACTGAAGCAAGCCTCAAGGTCTTGGAATATTCGGTTTGATGAGGTAATCCAGTCATATGGATTCACCCAATGTCCGGATGAGCACGGTATATACAAGAAGATTAGTGGAAGCGTGGTGGTGTTTCTTGTGCTATACGTGGATGACATACTTCTTATTGGCAACAACAAGAAGGAGTTGTCGGACGTAAAGGCGTGGTTGTCTAAACAGTTTGATATGAAGGACTTGGGTGAAGCAGGACACATTCTTGGTATCAAGATCATTCGTGATCGTGAGAAGAAAATGACGTGCTTATCCCAGTCTTCATATATAGATACTGTCTTGGCTAGATTCAGTATGCAGAACTCTAAGATAGGTACATTACCTTTCAGACATGGAGTACCTTTATCTAAGGAGTTGTCTCCCAAGACTACTAAGGAGATAGGGGACATGAAGACAGTTCCTTATGCTTCGGCAGTAGGAAGTCTCATGT